CCGTGGTGCCGGTGGCCAAGCACCGAGGGTGAGTGAAGAGGGGACCAGAAGGGGATGGGAGAAATGATTTCAAAAGAAAGACGAGGAGGAACACCGAGGGAAGCGGTGGGAGAAGTGAGGTGAAGTCTTGCTTGATCTCTGCTAATGACAGCTGCAGCTAAAGGGGCACTACCCACCGGCACTGTGCCAAGAGGTCGATTTACACGTGCCACCTGCTGTAATTCAACGTGCTGTCCTTACTCAGCAACAGAAGAGTACTGAGGTAGTCACTCTACTAGTTGAAAACTGAGACTTCGGAGAGGTAAAGCGATTTACTGAAGCTTACACAGCTGAGAAGTCACAGGGCTGTGATGGCTTTCTGGTCTAGAGCCGGGTTGTGAGTCCTGTTCCAGAGAAGGACAGAAGGGCAGAGGAATGCGGGCACAGGGAGCAGCGTGCCAGCAGAGCAGTGATGGAGAAAGATGAATGGGCTTCATAGAACACTTAGCACCGACTGGAAGGAGTTTCTCTCTCTCTCTCTCTCTCTCTCTCTCTACCCTTCTGTCATCTCCCCTTCGGGAGTCATGCCAGCCTACAGTGCAGCTGAAGATGCACTCACCACCAAGTTAGTCACCTTCTATGAGGGCCACAGCAACACATCCACCATCCCCTCCCACCAGGCTTCAGTGCTTCTCTTTGAACCCAGCAATGGCTCCCTGCTGGCGGTGAGCAACTTTTTTTTTTCTTGGGGCAGATCGGGTAGAGCAAGTCCCTCCCCCAGTAGAGAGTGTCCTTTAGGCCCCGAATTAAGCCTAGAAGCTAGTTCTCCTTGAGAAGTAACATATGATTGCGAGTGACCAGACATGAGACAGCAAAGATGATCTGTGACAGCGTGTTTCTAGGACCGATTTGAGCCCACAGTGGCTGCAAGCCTGTGGCTGTGGAATAACAGTCCTGTTATTCATGCTTATGTTCTTGCCACACACTCAGATACACCAAATGCACGGCTTGAACTAAAACTGAGCAAACATTTATTCATGGACATCCCACCGCCACCATGGAGCAGAAGACTATGCCCCAGCCTGTGGGTGTCCTTCTGGCATCTGTTTTTAGTATCTAGTAAGGTGTGAAAGGAGCAGTAGCTCACATTTACTGAGTGATTTGTGTGTGAGAGAGAGGGGGGAGCAGTTGTGCTCAATTTAACACCCCCCCACACACTAATCAAGACTGGACTTCAAACCTCTTCAGTCTAAGACAAGGGTGTATCCAGTTCCAGACTATGTTCTACTGCCTTGTCTGTCTGTCTGTATGTTTGCTATGTGTCTCAGGCCAGCCTCACACCCATGATCTTCCTGTCTCAGCCTGCTGAGTGCTGAGTGTGAACAGGGTGCTTCCCCTTTCATTTTTGTGGAGGACCCTGAGGCTCAGGTTAGTCCACATCCTTGTCTTGAGGTCACACAGCTGGTAAGTGAAGATCACTCCTAGATCATCTGACTAACACTGGTGCTGATACTCTTAGCTCTTAGAGGGCTGCAAGCAGATTCTCAGAACCCACCCGCCTTCTTCTCCTCTGACCATCTGAGAGTCTGGATGGATTCCTACTAAGAATGAACGAGAATCTAGCTCTTCCTAGCCTGTGCTCACCGGTGGCAAAAGCATCTATGCTGCCTACGACAATGGAGTCCCACTTTTGGAGCCTCTGCCTTCACACTGGATGCCGGGGCTTTGGGGTTTTGCTGAATGTTCTGTAGCTATAGGATTCAGCTTCTTGACTATAAAATGAGAATAGAAAATGATAGCACTTGCCTTTTGAGAGTCAGCTGAGATAAGTGAAAGGGAGGCAGCTATCATTAGCTAGGCAAAATGCTTAGCCCTCCTTGGGCAACAGAACCTCCTGGGGAGCCTTGGAAACCAAGGATAGCTTGATCCCACCCCTTATGCCAGGAATGGGTCCCAAGACCTTGACCACTGAGCTGCATATCCCATGCTAGCCAGTCAGCCTGAGTCATTCTGAAGGTGGCCTCCGGGAATAGTGTCTTTCCTAAGCTCCTGAGATGTGAAATGACAATCATATCCCTGAAGTTTCACCTCAGCTTGGAGATCTGAGAATCCCAGGGCAAGAAAAGAAAATGGGTGATGCTGGAATACTTAGTGTACACAGCAGCTTCACCATATGAAGATGTAGTCAGTGCTCTCAGTGCCCTCTGCACTGTTGGCATCATCTTTGCTTTTACAGGTAAAGGGTCCAGTGTGTAGAGATTAGTCCTCAAAGCCACAAAGCTCAGATCGGAGTGCGACCCTAAGCCCCACATTCGCTGTTGTTCTACAGAGCTGCCTGTAGCTGCCTTCAGAGCTACTCCTCTGGGTTTCGGTCCTATGAGGGCACCTTCTTCACTGTCTTTCCTTCCTCCAAGGTCATGGATGGAAATGTCATAACTGCAAAGAGAACAGCAGCCGTGTCTGCCATTGCCACCAAGGTAAGTCCAGCAGCTATGCTGTGCTAGGCAGGTTAGATCTGGAGAAGCGAGAAATGCGGAACATACTGTCTGCCTTTATTCATAGCTGGAACTCCATGTACCAAACATGAGTTATTAAGTGAACACAGTAACTCACACAGTTGTTGAATGTGTGCCACATGATTCCAAATAGTTCAGAGGCACAATTCCCTGTCTTCCTGTCTCAAAAACTAAAATGGAAAGTGATTGACATTTTTAAAAAATCAAATGGCTCTTTAATGGATTATATACTAATTATTAATAAATGTCACTACATGTTTAACTATTTCATAATTTTTATTAATTAGTAAATAATCTGTAGTATGTTTAGAATTTGCTGAAAAAAATAATACCCTCCCAAACCCACATTGTATGTTAGAAATGTGAAATGAAACAAAATTAAAAACATTGGAAGTGACTTTTTATTTTTTTTAAATGAGGCCTCACTATGTTGCCCATGCTGGACATGAATATTTAGGCTCGGATGGCTCACTTGCCTCAGCCTCCCACAAAGCTAGGTCTACAGGCACACACCCCTATTTGTGACTAAAGAGATGAGATTTCACATGATTCAGAAATGACCTCCCTGATAGGGTGACATTTGAGAGAGGACTGACATCAGTGAGTGGAGCACTGCAGGACCATGCAAAGTAGGAGGCCAGGCAAGTGTTGCTGGTAATGTCCTCAACAGTGCAGAGGCACCCCATGAGAAAGATGGAGAGTTTGTAGAGGATATAGTTAAGGAAAAGAAGTTTAGAATAGGGTATTAACCTGGGATAGCTACAATTCCAGCAGTTGGGAGTAAGGCAGGAGGATCACCGTGAGTTATAGGATAGCCTGTACTATATAATGAGACCATGTCTCAAAAGACATAGTAGAGGAAAACAGGATTCTGTGGGAAAGATTGGAATCTGTTTTTTTTTTTCAGTAATTTAAGTAGGACAAGGACTTGGGATGCTGGTTTTCCTATACATAGCAGAAGTTCCATGGCTCAGGGGAGGGTTGGCATGGCAGATCAGGTGTTTAGATTATTTAGATGGTGGATGGCTCTTGAAAAACAACACGTAAGGTTGACCTCTGTCCTCTACAGGCATGTCCACATGTATACACACACACACACACACACACACACACACACACACACACACACACACACAAAGGGTCCACATGAGAATTGAGTACTGGCATATAGTAGGTACTCAAGGAAGGCTCCTTCCTTCTTGCCCCTTTCTACAGAGGGCAAATGGAAACAAAGTGACATCTCCGTGGTACCCACCAGCTCTTAAGGGTAGCTGAAGCCTCCTGGCCACCTGATATTCCACTGTTTTTGTTTTCACCCACTGACTTTTATCACCCTGTTTCCTCTCAGTTTTTGAAACCCCCAGATAGTGACGTGCTGTGCATCCTTGGGGCTGGGGTCCAGGCGTATAGTCATTATGAGATCTTCACAGAACAGTTCTCCTTCAAGGAGGTGAGTGAGGGCGGGGTCTGGGGAGGGGGAGATGGGACAGGGGTCTCCAGGTCCCACCCAACACAGACAAACAGTGGGGTGAGTCCAGTGTAGATCACCCTTACCTTTATGACTTGCCCATGGAGACAAGAACTGAGAGGCCTAACCACCTCTTTTCAGACTCATGGCTCACAGGGCACACACTTGGGGATGCCACCAGCCACCCAAGTGATCCTGTGACAATCCTTGGGTATCAGCTGCACATCTGCCCCTCCCTGTGCTTCCCTTAAAAGACTCTGGGAGGCTTTAAGAATTTAGGGCTTTGGATCCAGAATCAGGGTGAGACCTGGTGAGCAGAATATGTTGAGTCATTTGTCCTTATTGATCAGCTAGGATATAAAACTTATTTTTCTATCTCCCATATTTCGTGATGAGAGTCTTTGCACCTTATTTCTAGGTCAAGGGTGGGAGCGTCAGACCCATTGAATCTTATTAGTAAATTCACAAGAGCTCAACTCACGATGCTGCCAGCACCTTCCGGGATTCTGTGGCTTTCACATTGGTCTTTTATAAGCTATACTATTCACTTGAAAAATATTTGCTTTTTAATCCTTCCTTACACTTCATTGAGCAATCTCTCCCATGACAAAGAACTCTTTTTATGAATCTTGTATTTGCTGAAACTCCAGTATAGGACTTCAAACGTAGACTAAGTTCCACACTGTCTTTGCCCAGTTATATTTCCATTTCACAGATGTGGAAACTGAGACTGAATGAGGGAAATCATTGCAGAAATAATATAAGTAAAGGAAAAGTTTGTGCCAGGCCTGCATGACTCCAGACCCTTCTCTGTAACCATTAAACCATCAAGGCATGTCCTGGCCTACGACTGGAAAGTGTCCACTTTTTTTAAAAGAGAGGCCATTTTCATTTGTCTGAGCAAATATCCCGTCACCTTAATGCTAAGTCCTTGATCAAATGCCCATTCTTTAAAGACATGGTTGTCACCATCTCAGAGCAGTGTGGATTGGTGTGGCATAAGCAGTGAAGAAATGCATTAATGTCCCTTTTGCTACCCACTATAAGGTGAGAATATGGAACCGCACTAGGGAAAATGCAGAGAAGTTTGCAAGCACAGTGCAAGGAGATGTTCGGGTCTGTTCATCGGTGCAGGAGGCTGTGACAGGTGCTGATGTCATCATCACAGTCACCATGGCAACAGAGCCCATTTTATTTGGTGACTGGGTGAAGCCAGGGGCTCACATCAATGGTAAGTAGAGAGGCTTCAGGCTCGAGCACTGGATCCAGACTCTGTAAAAGTACTTTCTCCATCATACAGAATGCCAATTTTTTTTTTATTTTTCTTTGAGTTAGGGTCTTGCTATGCATCTCGACTAGCTTTAAACTTGCTATCCTCCTGCCTCAGCCTCCTGAGTGCTTAGATTATAGGTGTCTATCCACACTCCTGTCTGTGCGTGCTTTCTTAAGGGTATCAGAAATGTGTGAGCCTGAAGTGCAAGGCAGGAAGATGGAGAATTGAAGGATAGCCTGGGCTACTTACAGAGAACCTGTTTCAAAAAAAAACCAAAGACAAGGACAGTAAAACTGTCTCAAAATGTGAAAAGAAAAATTAAACATAAATTAAACATGAATATTTTACTAATTAATGCCCTGTGGAATGGAACATTGCCACAAATGGTCAGCCACTGCTTCATTCTTAAATGTGACAACATTCAAATCCTAATGGGAAAACATATAGTGTTTCATTTTGGTTTGTTTGGATTGATTTCTTGAGACAAAGTTGCTCTGTGTGGCCATTGAACTTGTAACCTTCCCTCCTGTGCTTCCCTAGACTTGCATGTCAGACCTGATCCACTGCTCTGGTCTGAATAGTTTGTTCTTAGCATATAAAACTACAAACAATTTCCAAAAATAATGACAGCACAAAGAGGATTTAACATTTAATGTGTGGACTAAGAGGTGGGGTGGGGGGGTATTCTAAACATAAGGACACTTGGGGCCTCTGAAGATCTTCAAATAACTATAGAGAATATGGCAAGAAATGGGCTATATAAAATACTTAACTATTGTAGATACTGTCCTGAATTCTGTACATGTGTGCACGAGTGTGCATGTATACCCATCAGTGTTTGTGGTGTATGCATGTGTGTGTGTCGATGTCAGATGTTTTCCACAATTACTCTCCATCTTGCTTTTGATACATCTCTCACAGCATCCAACATTCACTAATTAGCTAGAGAACTAACTCCAGGGATTGCCTGTTTCTGTCTACTGCCCACCTACCCCACAATGTCACAGATATGAGTACCCATGACAACAGTTTTTACATGGGTTCTAGGTACATAATTCCACAGCAAGTATTTTACTGTTTGATCTATGTTCCCAACCCTTTCAATTATTATATATTAATATTATATATGTACATCTAATGTATATATGCTATATTATATGTGTGTATATGTGTTATATATAGTCACTTAATTCTTCTAGCAACCTTTTAAGATAAGAAGCAATAATTATTATATCCCTTAGTTTATTGGTGGGTAACCAAGGTAAGGAGACATTAAGTAACTTTCAAAAGTCAGAGACTCTTGGGGCCAAAGTTGGGTTTGAACTGAGGAAGTCTGTCCTCAGAACCCCGGCTCTGTGCTCTTGAACATGGCAATAAGAAGTCTGGCTTTGATTGCCAGCCAGCCAGGCAATCAGCTAGGCAGCCAGCCCGCCAAGGATTGAGGATAGAAGCAGTGCTCCACCATGTTATGACAAGAACATGGTGTCATCTCAGAAGCTGAGCGCTCTGCCCACATAGGCAGATGAGCAGGCAGGAGTCAAGTCAAGAGATGTGTGTTCATTCATAAATGTTTACTTACTCTGTTCCATGTGTCAGCCATTGTCCTCGCTGCAGGGTGATGCCACAGTAAACAGAGCATCCGAGGTCATGGCTTTTCTCTTGGCTTTATTCTGCTTGTGAGGAGCCTGTGCAGCCAACAGGACACTGAAAGAGCCTGGCAGTGGAAGCAGAAGGGGAAAGTTGAAGTAGATCCTTTTGATCCACTTACCGGAAAAGCTGCCTGGGGAGGTGACTTGGGGCTGTGACCCAAATAACAAGGAAGAGCAAGTCATGTCAAGGACTGAAAAGAGGATGTTCCAGGCAGACAGAAGATTACAAGCAAAGGGGAGTGAACACAACAATTTGAGGACTAAGCCAAAGTGAAGTCAAGGTCTCAGTCTGCAGGGAACTGATGCCATGAAACAGGCCCAGGAAGAAACCAAAAGGTGGCTTAGTTGGCCCGTAAAAGGTAGATCCAGGTGTGCATCTTGGAATCAAAACTGTCTAAAATGACTTGAGAGATCCAGAGGGACAGTTCTTGGTGAAATGTGTTCCCTGGGGCAGAACTGAAGTTGCAGCTGACTGATTTGGTTTTTGTGTTGTTTTTCAAATTTGATACAACACAATGAGAATCCACTCAAGGTTAGGCTGGTCCTCTGCTTAAAGTCTCACAAGCATGAAATCTGTGTTCACTAGACTATAACCTCATATAGTATCAAAGGTCCTCTTCCAGGCTTGTGGGGTGGCAGGGTTCAGCCCCATATGCTATAGACAGAGGGCCTATTTCTGGGGGTTACTCTCATTTCCTAAGGATTTCCCACCACCCCAAAGCCAGCTACAGTGAGTCCTTTACATTCATTCTCTATATCCATCTATCTATCTATCTATCTATCTATCTATCTATCTACCTACCTACTACTTACCTACCTACCTACTTGCCTACCTACCTACTTGCCTACCTACATATCTATTTCTATAGCTATATATTTCTAGAAGGGGATGGCTTGATATGGAGTCAAAATATTTCTTTTTGTGTTCCCTTGACCTAGCCTAGGAACAAAGTTTCTTTACGTGATCACAGAGCCTCAAATATGCTTTGTTAAAGTGTGTTCCAGAGATAACAGTAAAACACTAAGGACAGATTTTAGTTGTTTATTAGGCCTGCTAAAGGGCAGGCAAGTTCTGATCTGTGTCAGACTGCTGACTTGCTGTTTGGTCCACTTGCATCTGCCTGAGTGGCCTCACACAGCCCTTTGAGAATTCATCCTGCTGGAGGCAGTGGCTGTCTGTAAAAAAACAGGGAAGGGGGGTAGCCCCAGAAACTGGAAGCTTTTCCCACCACCTTCTGATTTATTTACAAGCTTCATTAGTAAGTACTTTGTTCTCTAGAATCCCCCAGCAACAGCCTTCAAGATGAGCATTGTTATATGGCTCTCTGGAAATGAGAGCTCAGACAGGAAAGAGAGAACACACAAGGAAATGGACAGCAGCACCGCAAGAAAGCATGTAAATGCTGCCTTGGATTTGGATAAAACATTAATATTTTCAAAGACTAGCCAGCAGACTGCTTTGTTTGGACCACATAGAAATCAAGAAATAACTTATGCAAATAGATTTCCTGCTCCTCTTCATAAACAGTGGGAATGGAGGGCAGTCTGGTAACAGTGAATAAGCACTCATACATAGTAGCCATTAGCTGGGGCTGGATAATGACTATCCTCTGAGGAAGTACATACTCACTTCTGTGTAACCAGGACAGCAACATTTCCAGTCCCTTTGCTGGCTTTGCTCCTGTTCATTTCTTCCTGGCTCTGCAGGCATTTGGTTGCAGCCTGGGCACTATCCTGTGTCCTTGTAAAAGGAGGTGTGATACATTGAATTCATTGCTCCAGTCTCTGAAGAGGGACAAGGCCAATGATCAAGGCCTAATAGCCCATTTGTATTTTGTGGGGTGTTTAGTTTGTATGTTTTTTTTTTTTGCTTCCTCCACCCCACTCCTCCTTTTCATCCTCCTTATCATCCTCTCTCTGTTCTTTTAAAAATGTGTGTGCATACGCGCATGCCACCACACACATATGGAAGTCAGAGGACAAACTCAGCTATTGGGTCTGGCTCTCATTTAGTTTGAGACAGCATCTCTTGCTGTTCACCTATGTGTTCTCCAAGCTATCTGGCCCAAGAGGTTCCAGACACTCTACTGTTTCTGCCTCCCATCTTATACAGGCCGACTGGGATTATAGATGTGCACTATGGCATTCAGCTTTCTATAGATTCTGGAGATTTCAATTCACATGGTCACATTTGCATATGTACTTTACCCACTAGGTCATTTCCCCATCATCAGGTTTCTTTTGTTAGGGCAATATCAAGTCCAGGCTTCCTTTTTTCTCCCACTTCTGGCAGTACTGGGGATTGAGCTTAAGGGCTCACACATACTGGGCAGGTGCTGTGCCACTGAGCTACAGTTACAGCCTCCCAATTGTCTTTTATTTTGGCTTCTTCGTGGCCTTAACACTGGCTCTTTGTCAAGACTACAGAAAAAACAGTTTCAGGTGAGAAACAGGAATGACTAAGGAGCACACCAACTGAAGATTAAGGAGCAGAGGTTCTCTGTTGTATGGTTTCTGCAATTAACGGTCACTCCTGGCAAGAGGAGACCCTTCAGTGCAAGACTGGGGCTCTCTCTGACCCAGATGACTTGAGTAGCAGGCCCCTTCACTCTGCATAGCTCCAGTGCATGCATCTATAAATGGAACTGGACACTAGATGTGAGGTCCTTAAACTGCATATAAGGAAAATACAACATGGACAGTATTTTCCTTATTAAGTGAATGTTGTGCTTGAGAGATGGCTCAGCAGTTAGGAGTGTATACTGCTCTTGCAGAGGACCTGAGTTCAACTCCTTCCATCCGTGTTGGGTGGCTCACAACTGCCACTGTAGATCCAGTTCTAAGGAGCATCTGGCCTCCTCAGGCACCTGTACTCGAACACACACACCCACATCACACCCACACCCACACCCACATCCACACACACACCCACAAACACACAAACACACACACACACACACACACACAAAAACGCACGCACGCACGCACAAATAATTTTTAAAAGAATAAGAAAAAATGGTAGGCGTTCTTTTTAACAAGTATTCTATCGTACTGATTGGGAAGCGATTGATCTAGGAGATGAGAAGGCATTCTGGTCTAAATATCCTGACTGGTCCCCTGCTCAACTTTTTCTGTTAATGTACCCTAGAATTTTCCTGGGCTCAAAGTCTGTTTTGTTATCTCGTAGCTGTTGGAGCCAGCAGACCTGACTGGCGAGAACTGGATGATGAGCTCATGAAGCAAGCAGTGCTGTATGTGGACTCCCGGGAGGCTGCCCTGAAGGAGTCAGGAGATGTTCTGTTGTCAGGGGTGAGCCTCCCATGGGCAGAACCATTGGCTGTCCCTGGTCTGGTTCCCAGGGCTTCACTGTCTTCCCCCCTGGACCTTGGTCACCTCACCTTCTGGTGAGGGAGACATTCCTAAATATCTTGCAATCTTTTTAATTCCATTCTAGAAAAACATAGCCATATGGCTGTGACATGTGTCTTCTTGTCCTTCTGCTTGGAGGGAGAGTTGATTTTTTTTTCTGGTTTCCTGTGCAATGAGGCAGTAGGGTGGGAAGTCTGTTGCAGCCTGGAAACCTTTCTGAAATGACAGCACAATTAGACTATGTATCCCCTGGCTGCCTATCCCCACTTACTATCTGGACATGGAGCAAGAAGAGGCTGCCAAAGTGCATGGTCAGATAATAGCACACCAGTTTCTTCCCAGACAGGGACCTGGCAGGCAGACACCCAGACACAATGATCTTGGTGTCCATGGAATCAAAAACACAGGTGCTGCCCCAAAAGGGTATCCGATGGCAGATGTTTCCTAATACCATCCAGTTCGCAAGCGGTCTTTTTAAAAATCACTTATATTCTCGCCTATTTAGGAATGTCCTATACTGGCTTTAGAAGCCAGCCCTGCATGAGATAGCAGCTTTAAGCCTAGTTAGCATGCTTCTGTTTCACAGGCTGACATCTTTGCTGAGCTTGGAGAAGTGGTGTCAGGAGTGAAGCCTGCACACTGTGAGAAGACCACAGTGTTCAAGTCTTTGGGTAAGACCCACAGATTGCTCCCTGGGCACAAATCCAAACAGAGCACAAAGCAGGTGAAAGGGTGAACTGTTGGGAAATCATTGCCGAGTCCATCATTCGAATCAATCATTTACATGTTTGGGTGGAGTAATTATGCCTATGAACTCTGGAGTTGGGCAGTCCTGAGTCAGATTCCTTCTATATCATGCACTGGATATGTGACCTTAGACAAGTGACCCGATGTTTCAGAGCCATAGTTTATTCACCATCTGTTACCTTGAGTTCTTGTGATATCAGTGAGATATACAAGAAAAATTTGCACATAGCCAGTGTTGTACTAAATTGCTTAGGTTAGACATAAATAAATTCAGAAGAACAATTGAGTTGAGGAGCTCACATCAACCTATGTCCATCAACTGTGGTGATATCTTGTTTATACTTGCCTGAAGTTAGCTAGGGCTAGCCACTAGCTAACTGTAGAGGTCTGGAGGTCTGTACAGACAGACAGGAAGTGAGATGGCTGGGCATAGAGAGGAATATAGGCAGGAAGAGTCAGAAATTCCATCTCTCTTCAGTCTGATGATTTCATAGAGGTAAGAGTTCTAGTGGCTATTCTACTTCTCTGGTCCTTCAGCTTTCACCCCCTAATATCTGACTCTGGGTTTTTATTATTAAGACTATTAGAGCTTTTCTACATTCAACCACACAGACAGAAGAAAGGGATGGAAGTGGGGTGAATTCAAGTTGGACTCTGGGTTTTTATTATTAAGACTATTAGAGCTTTTCTACAGTCAACCACACAGACAGAAGAAAGGGATGGAAGTGGGGTGAATTCAAGTTGTAGTGTCCACAAATAAAATTGTATCAAAACACAGACAGACTCATTTGCTTACCTGTGACCTATGGGCACTTTCCCACTATAAGGGCAGAACTGAATCATTGTAGCAGAGACCATATGACTTAGAGATTAAACTGTTAACTGAGCCTCTACTGAAATGTTGCTGACCTCTGAACTAGACCTTGGAGGCTATAAAATGTGGGTATTTTTTGCTTAGTATCATTTTTTTTCTTGACCTGCCCTTTGTATACTGAGTTTGATTGTACCTCTGGGTAGCAGTTACTGTTAGGCCTATGGTTTCAGTAGTATCCCCACTCCGAGTATCAGAAGACAGCCAGGACAAAGTTGTTCTGGAAAAAAATGTGAATCAAATTTCTGTCCATTACAGGGATGGCAGTGGAAGACCTGGTGGCAGCCAAACTAGTGTATGATTCTTGGTCATCTGGCAAGTGAGATGAAGGAGCTGTGCACTGAACTGGACATTACAGCTCAAAGGCCTCATAATGTCCAGAGTAAATGAGGGAGCCAGTCCCTGTGAACTGTAGCGATTTTCATTTTTAAGTGCTGACATCTCTACTCATGTTTGTAGTTGGATAGCTAAACCAGGTAACTGTTTCTTCTGTTACACAGGTGATGTCATCATTACCTACCCTTGATCTCACTAGCTTTGTATGTCTCTGAAATAAAGCATTTCCAGTTCTTCAGTGTGTCCTTTGATAACTTCCTGTGGAGAGGAAATAGGGGTATCAAATGTCCACTCAATACTTAGAGGAGGTGGAATAGTATTTTCTTCATTTTAATTGAGTAGAACTTAGCATAAAACGTGTGTGTGTGTGTGTGTGTGTGTGTGTGTGTGTGTGTGTGACCAGACCCAGATACTCACACATGCTAGGAAAACAGACTTCCACTAAGCTACATCTCTAACACAGCTTATGATTTTAAGGTATACAGTTCAATGGGTTTGGGTGAGGTTTGTACAACCAAGCCCAGAATGATCCTATCCCCTGAAGAAACCTGTTTCTCACAGTATCATCACCTGCTTCTTCCCAGCCTCTGGTTTCTATTGCCATAGATTTGCAGTAGAAGAAATGTCACTTACATCCAATCACATGTTATGTAGCTTTGTGTGTCTATTTTAAATGTTTAAAGAAACACAGATAAGGAGGATCCTTTGGTCATGGGTAGTAGAAACCACAAGTTTAGTTCACTTGAATCTAATTGAATACATGGTAAAAAAGCAAACCATTGGCTCTTTAACAAAGAAGCCACAAGGCCCCAAAAGGGGAACATGTCTCATGACCAATATACCGAAAAGAAAAAAAAAAAAAGCATCAGGAGTCTCATAGTTTCATTCCCCCCAGTCTGACTGGTGACCTCTTCTTACTGTGTAAATTGGGGTAGGATATGGAGACAGTGTCTTGGGAAGTTTCTAGGGAACTAGAGGGGATCGAGGCATCTACAATAATGATGTGTGACAGAAGCAGGCTCAGACCACAAAGCCTCTGAATTCCTTCTAACTGCTTTTGTGCACATTATTGAAGCCAAGTACAACTTTAGCTTATTCAACAACAAAGCACAATATATGTAAACAACTATCCCCTCATGTAACATATCCAATAATCCATATGCTTCCTGAATCTACTCACTGGGGAGGAATGTGGGAGTTCAACACCTTTGAGCATCTGTATCCTGCATGGAGCCTTCTGCAGTAACTCAGATGTGAAGGGGAAATCAGCTGGGCACAAATAACTTTTCTAATATTACATGCACAGTCAATGGTAAATTTTACTGGGTGGTAGTCTAGCTATAATATTCTAGTAAAACTTAGCTCTTGGTTAAGGGGTGGTTTCAATTTGAGATTGTCTTTTAAAAACTATGCACATTTTAAAAATGCAAGTTTGAGCCGGGTGTCAGTGGTGCATGCCTTTAATCCCAGCGCTTGGGAGGCAGAGGTAGATGGATCACTGTAAGTTCGAGGCCAGCCTGGTCTACAGAGCAAGTGCCAGGACAGGTTCCAAAACAATACAGAGAAACCCTGTCTCGGAAAAAAAAATGCAAGAGTTTGGAGATAGGAACTGTGTACATTGCTGGTGGGAAGGTAAACTATGGAAACCAGTGTGGTAGCACTCCAAAACCTGAAAGTAGAGCTATCATGTGACCCAGCTATCCCATTCAACATATCACACAGACCTACACACCCACCAATAGCTCTACAGGCAGATGACCAAGCCATTAGCATATGGGTCTTTGGGCTATATCTAAGATCTAGATTATAACATGCAGTTACCCAGACAGCAGCACCGCTGATTCACACTAACAAAGCGAAGGCACAACTGGTAAGCAGCATGAATGTGTAAAATTTACTTTTGTCATCAATCTTCCTAAAAACTAGACCTTTCCTCTCCCTTTTTAAATCTCAGAAGGCACTTAACCCTCAGAAAGACTGTGAAATGGGACAGGCATTGTTTTCCTGAGTCCTTCTTGCTTTCCCTTCACTATCCTCTTGTTTACACACCACACTTGCCAGCCAAGGCTGCCATAACAAAACACTGCAGACAGAGTGCTCAAACAACAGAAATTTATTTTTCACATCTCAGGAGGCTGAATGACCAAACTATTGTTAAGTTTGATTTTCCCCAGAGGTGGGGGGGGGGCGCAGAGCAGAGGGGGTAGCTCTCATTGGCTGATTAACAGCTGCCTTCCTACTCTTCCTGTGTGAGTACACCCTTGATGTAACTTCCTTTTCTTTTAAGTCACGTGGAGCTATGGAATTAAGAGCCCACCCTTATAACCTCATGTAACCTTAACCACCTCTTTAAAGTACTGTCTCTAAAAACACTCACTTAGGGGTTAGGGCTTCCAGACTTGAACTTTAAAAATTCATCCCACAACAGGCACCCCACATTTTCCTTCTGCCATCCCCCTACCCACTACACTGCCCTGATTCTTAGACGGGAACATTATAAACCCAACCCTGTTGCTTGAAAATATCTGTTAAAAGATTAGATCCATGTAGGTTAGGCTTTGCACTTTAGACCAATGAGAGCCTTGGTCTCCACAGAATGCAGTCATGAAGAGAAACACCGTTTTCTTGTTCCAAGGTCTCCTAGCATTTTTTTAAACTGATGGTTTACCTGAATACAGAGTACGTCTCAGAGTCTGGGCCTCTGTTTTGGGTGTCCTCTCTAAAACCCTAACACCTAAACCCAGAGTTCTGTCATTGAACAGAGATCAGGTACAGGGTGCTTCCTGGCATGCTCCCAAGGGAACTCAGCATAACCTCCCATGCTGTTAACCCTGTTAACAAATGGCCTCCATCAGAGGCTGGTGTCCACCAGCTGCCCAGGCTGCCGGAGCACCTGCTTCCTTTTGTCTATGGCATTAAGAACTTTCTTTCTGGGGCCCAGCTGCAAGTGGATATTCTGAAGGTCCTCATCAGAGCAAAGCAGCAGAGCTTCTAGATCCATCTGCTCTCTCATGAAAATGGGAAGGAATTCCTCTAGGTGCTGAGAGCGCAAGAACACTTCCAGCGGGGTGGCATCAGCCATATCCTCCTCCCATTCTACTTCGTCTTCGTCCCAAGGAAGATCACTCGCAGTACCATTGCTTGCCTCTCCCTCTTCATCTTCCTCTTCATCAGTTGCGCCTTGTCTTTGGAACAACTCACTGGGTATTTTAAAGCCCAACTCCCTCTTGCTGTCTGAGATGTCCTGAAGGTCCAGTACTCGGTTCCTTCTAAAAACAATACTCCCTAGCCCTGGACGGTTGAGAATAGACTCGTGCTGTACGTCACTGGCTTTCTCTGCGGAGAAACGGAGCTTCTCTCTGAAGTCCTCTGGGAATGTGTCTTCCTCCTCCTCTCTGAACACTTCCATTACATGCCTCTGCCCGTTTCTGTCTTCCTTCCCCACCTGCTCTGCTGTGTCTTTGTTCTTCTTAAATTTTATCTTAAAGGTATCTTTAATGCCTTTAGACAGTGACCCAAATCCACCAGCAGAAGCATTGGAAAGGGACGACCTGGAGAACGTGCCATGGTAAGAAGAAAGGGTCCCAGAGTCTTCCTTGCTATAGGTGCGGGCCATCCTGTTTTGGTGCTTCTCCTGAAGTCGTTCGCACTCTTTCATCTGCCTCCTGGCATTCCTCAGAGCCTGCTCCTTCAGTCGGGCGAGCTTCTTGGGGTTCATGGTGTTCTGTACGGTGGCAGCCTTATCCAGAAGAGCAACACATTCTTTCTGCTCCCTGCTGGCAGCAGCATCCAGTGGAGACTTTAAGTCATTATCTAGGGCAAAGATGTTGGCACCAAAGTTGACCAGGAATGAGATGCAGTGGGTGTGGCCATTGGAGGCTGCATAATGTAGAGGAGTATTTCCCCAGATGTCACATTTATCAGGGTCTCCACTACAGAAGAAAATATGAAAGACGCATGTTAAATCATGTTTTCCACTGAACATGAGGTCTATAAAGAAAAACAAAAACAACCAACAAAATGCATGTTTATCCTGCCTTGACATATGATAGCTGCCGAGTTTAGCTATGTCAGAGCCAGTTACCAGATGGCCAGAAATAGAGCCATCTCCATGCTATGCCTCCCTTTTAGAAGAAAAAGAAGAAGAAGAAGAAGAAGAAGAAGAAGAAGAAGAAGAAGAAGAAGAAGAAGAAGAAGAAGAAGAAGAAAACCTTCCTAACAGAGTTACTTTCATATCAGAGTTGGGTCACATGACTCAGAGAAAGGAAATAGAGTACTATGCCTAATTCTAATTAAAAAAAAAACCTTCCTAACAGAGTTGGGTCACATGACTCAGAGAAAGGAAATAGAGTACTATGCCTAATTCTAATTGAGCTCCATTAGAAGTTTCCCTGAAGCCAAGAATCATATCTTCCAATGGTATACTTGTAAATGATTAACAATGGCCTCATTCATGGAAGAAAAAGACTCAGAGCCCTGATTTATAGCATGTATGATAGTATAAATCTACCCACCATGAAAATTTTCATGTTGCCACATCACTTTACTGGATACAGAGATTGGAAGAGACAAGCAATAGTATGCTGTTTTATCTCCACCATAACAATTCATGGACATCTGTAACTTCAGAGCACAGTCACAAGAAAAATAGTGAACTAACTCTGAAGTGGTGAATTTCAAGCACTACATTTTAATAAAATTTGTTCAATTGTAAGTTCATATAATTTCAATAATTTCTGTGCTTAATTGGCTTTCAATTGTCCTGACAACAGCAGTATTCTGAGTGGACTTGGAGAGCTGATTCTAGCCAATATGCCAGCCCTCACATGAGTCAAATGTAGAAAACAAAACAAAAATTAAAAATAAAATCAGTCAGATAAAAAAGCTTCTATTTCTCATGAGGCCTTGAGAGTCAAGTACAGACCCTACTGAAGGATGAGAGGGAAATGATTGAAAAAGCTCTCACCACAGCTGGTGGGAAGCTAAT